TCTTATTACCAAAGGCGATATAGAGTTGGGTTGGGCTGAGTACTTCCAAAATTATCATCGAACCAAACTTGAGAAGGTGAACAAACATTCAAGTAACATCTATGCCGTTCCGGTACTGACGTATCATTAAGATTGATGAACTCACTTAAGCTCTGTTCCATAACTTCTAAAGGTAGTCCAACGCCTATGCTTATTTGGATTCCTTAATTAATCCAAGATATTTACTTAATATAGGCCATAAGGGTATTTTGGTCATTTTGATGCTCAGTTTTATTCCATTCATTTCAGAGCTCGAGGATATCCAATCATTCCTGAGCTTGGTGATATTCTTGGGTCATTTCCATGATAGGGGTATTTTGGTCATTTTACAGATTTACGGTATTTCAATCTTTTCCCTCCATCCGGTCTTATTATTTAATTCTAATTTATCATCTATTCCAGTCATTTCAAACAATTCTGATAAAAGAGCACCCTCCGATAAATTGTTCTTTAGGTATTTACTCATAACTCGGATATTTTCGGGTCAAGTGCCTTCTCGGATTTTACAAACGAAAAATCTTGAATTTTTCTTTACAAAGACAGGATCTTAATAATTAAATTCGTACTTAATCGAGTTAAGTACAAATCCTCAAAGTACTTTCTCATTCAAGGTCAACTCTGACTATTTTACCTCTCAAGGGCATTTTCATAATTTCTTAACCAGATAATTTCGATATTAGCTGTTAACAAAAATAATATAATATAGAGATTCTATGATTAATTGCTTCCTCGAACATTCTTTGATCTTGAAATAATTCCTTAAAAGACTTCTAGTATCTAGCATAAACCTTCTTAGGGTTAAAAACCGGTTATCCATAATTTCCAAGTAAAACTAACATTTCTTATGCACATCAATAGTTTTAGCAGATCAATAATTCTTTTCAAATTTATTAATCCACTTCCAGGGACAATTCTTATCATTTTCCAACATAAGGGTAATTTCGTAATTTTACATCATCGAAATATTCTCATAATTTATCATCTAAGTACCTTTAATGAGATAAATTATAATCTACATATCTATGGCTGTTTTTTATCACTTAATTCTAGAACTTATAATTTAATTCCAACTGTCCTTCAATTTCTTATAATAGTCATCTGAGTCATATTCAGTTACCTACTTTCTACCGTATTCGAATCTAGTGTAGATCTTCATTAATTACACATATGAGACCAAACATTTCCATTCATGCATTTACCAATACCAATATGTTCTATAAAGCATAAAGAGGTAGTAAAGTATTATCTCGATTTCCGTGCAATACTAATCAACCAATAAATTCCATTTGAACCCCCTCGATCTTGAATTCAACTTCCAATAATTCCTCAGATACATATCAACATAAATTATATAAAAAACGGAGCTTAATTACGATAAACGGATCGAATCGGGTGATAAATCAGTGAAACACAGCTTACTGGTTTCGAATTTGGCGAAACGGACTTCGGATTCGGATTCAGGACGTCGAAAGCATAAAATATGACTTTTCGGAAATTTGGAATTTTCGGATTTAGGCCTTCGAGTCTGAATTTCGAAAAACGGACTGTGGAATCGGATTTGGAACGTCGAAAAATTTTAGGATATATATACTCGGTCAAAGTCAAAGGTCGTTTAATGTCCGGTCAAAGTCTGTCAAAGTTTTGGTCAACATTGGTCAACGGTCAACGGGTCGGGTCGGGTTGTGACATGTCAAACCGGTCAAAATAGTTCCAAAACCGGTCAAACCGATCACTTTTTCCTTCCCCACGCGCAGTTACAACGGGTGGGGGCGCGTTAATAGTGATAAATTCCCGGAAAAATTCCTAAAAATTATTTTGAGCGATTTCGAGATACTTACAAAGCTCGGTTCATAATTTTGAACGGCGGAGAGCTCGATTTCAACAAATCAGAAACTTTGACCGCTTCACCTCCTCACGCGCTGCTGTCGACGTAGACCAAGGATGACACCGACAGACTCGGAACGATGCAAGGAACACGATGGTGCGAGAGGTGTTGTAAACGGATGCTCGGATCGTCGTGAATCGATGAAAAACCAATTGAAATTGAGTTATTACCGACGATACTTCCGACTGAAATTAATGACGAACGGCGACGATTCACGACAAAAGTTTTGAGGGGTTTTGTTCCTCGCTTGACAAAGAACATGATGGTGGTTTCGGCTCGTCAATCGGAGGTCGGACGGCGAGTAGATCGGAGTTAAAAGAGGGGTTGACGAGAGAGGAAAAACTAGAAAAATTTCCAGAAACATATTAGAAATTAGGGGTTTATATCGTCTCATAATTAAAAATGGTTAAACCAAGAGTTTAGCCACTAAACTTCCTGCACTTCATAAAACGGTCTGCCAACTTTAAAATTTTGCAATTTAACCCACTGTTTCTTTCAAAATACCAAATTAAATCCACCACTTTATAATTTCTTAATTTTAGCCCCTAAATTGGGGTGTTACAAAAATATTTTAATATCATTTTCATCAAAATATTATTTATTTTTATTTATTAATATTTATAATAATATAATATTATATTTTTAATATTATATAAAATAATCAATTATATTATAATAATATAAGATATTATATTTTTATTTTAATAATATATAATAAAAATTTTATATATTTAATAATGAATAATATTATTTATATATTTAAATAATATTTTAATAAAGATATTTAAAATATACTAATTAATATTTTTAAAATATAATATAACACTATTACTTTAATAAATAATTAATATAATTTATAATATTTTATTTCAGTAAAATATAAAAAAATTATTATTTTTATTAATAAAATTATAAAAATAATATTTAATAATAAATAAATTATTTTAATAAAATTATTATTTTTATTAATAAAATTATAAAAATAATATTTAATAATAAATAAATTATTTGAAACCCTAGGCGTTGGTCCTCCAGGGGGAGTAAAAGGGTGACCTTGCGTAGCATCACATTTGCCAAATCAACCGGCTAACGTGCCATATCAATATTCCGTCACTCACGGTAACAGTTGTTACTATCGAGTGATAATTTTGTTACAAATCGATAACATTAGTGACCAATTTGTAACTTTTGAAAGTTCAGTACGGAAAACAAAAAAAGTATTTAAACTTTAGTGACCACCAATGTAGTTTACCCAAAAATAAAATGTGATGTTGTTTTTAGTTTTCTAATACGATATTTTGAATAATATAAATTTAAAGCTTAAAAGAAACATATTTAATGAGGCATAATGATCATTTTCGTCAAGATTTTTGAAGTTCGACAGTGAGATTAGTTATTGACAAAATTAAGAGCAGTGATGTAGCACTAAATTTAAAGTTAGTTAGAGATAATATTGTAATAATGAGAAGTGAAAAAAAACATTCCTGTTAATAAAGAGTATTAATAAATTATTTATATATTTTTAAAACATTTAAAATTATAACATGTATTACCGTATATATTCAAAGCTTTATTTATTTAACTAAATTATTTTATAACTGTTTATATCTATTTATTGTAGTATGCTATACTACATAAATATATATAAATAACCTACAATTTTCTAAATAAAAAACATTGAGAAAGGGTCAAAGTCGTGGGACATCTAACGTCATCTTTCCTTCAGGATTTACTGTTTGCACGAAGAAAACGTGTAGAATTTAGAGGCCAAGAAAGATACACGTAGGTACACTACAACCTTTATTTTTATTTTGTTTTGAAAAATCAATTTTAATCTAATAATCAAAACATTTGTGTAATTCCTATTTTTGTCTGGTCTCCTAATTCACCGGATTGTAAGAGAAATTTTTTACGTTGAATGATGATGATGATGATGATGATAATGATGATGGTATAAAAGCAGTAATACTAAAGCCCATCATTTGTTTCCAAAAATATCTTCCATGCTAGTTGTGGTTGGAATGCGAGTGCCCACTCTACTCTGTTTACAACATTTCCGATGAATTAAAAATATAAAAAATATAAATATTAATTAATTTAGCTCATAATTCGTATCAATAATCGAATACGTTACTTCGATCATGTCTTAATAGAATCGTCGCCATGATATGAAATCTTTTAATAAATGAAAGGGATGTGTGTGGTGATGAATAAGAGTGGAGAACTCTATTTATAGCACTTCTCGCACCCAGAGAAGTGCGGTTTTAAATGTAACTCACGTCCTGCAAGTTCGCAAGGTCCTTTATAAATCTCGTGATATTTTGGATCTTAAAGTTTACCTCGAGCTTCTCAATGCGCGATGTCATTTTATCCAATTATTTTATTGACTTACCTGAAAAGTGTGCTCACGTCGGATTTATATCGCTTGTTGAAGGATGCGAGGTCGTCCAATGTGAACGATTTGGGAGTTATTTTTTCAAATAATTTATGGTGTGTCTTATTTATTTAAAAAATTATTTATTTGGGGTTTTTAATATAAAATTACCTATATTTGTTTCCATTAAATTTCAAACTTAAATTTATTAAATATTATTTTTTTAAAGATTAAATTTATTATGTAATCACCAGATTCTTTTTGTCTGTTTATTTTAAAATAATAAATATTAATTATTTCATTTAATAAATATTTTTCTTAGAAGACCTTAAATAATTTTAGTAATAAAAGAGGATGTTATTATTTTTAAAAGATTAGAGTGCAAACAGTTATTTTTGTATATTGTGTTTAGGATAATTATAATATAATATTTATTAAAAAAATTAACTATTAACCATACAAATATAGACTCAATAAATATAATTATTTGAATTTAGATCTTCTGGAAAACCAAGAGAAGACTGCATATGCGGATCATCCCGTTCAGTTCAATCTTTCATTTCTCAAATTAAGCTTAATTTTTTAAAAGAGTAGCTAATCAATTAGCATTGATTAGAAATTAATTGTCAACTGCTCCTTTGATTTAGTGATATATAATGAGTCACTTGTAGTAGGCAGGATCATTATCATGAGTTTCCAAAACCAATCAATCCCCTCCTCTATTTCTTCTTCAAATAAACCAAACAAGTAAAAAAAAAACTTGTAATCTTAACTATTTTGATTTTTCATCGTTTGTTTTCAAACAACGTTTTCAATAGGCGTTTGAATCTGTGCTGTTGTGTTGATTAAGGTGATGGGATTGAAGACCAAGAAATAAATTAAAGCTGATATGTTCTCAGCCGTGTTAGCAGGGTTAAATTGAGTCGCCATTGTTGGATTTGAGAGCTTGGGTCATTTTTGAAGCTACTGTAAGGGTCTTGAGCTGCCATTGATGGAATCAGCACCGTCGTTTAAGAGGGCTCGGCCGCCCGGGAGTGGAAACCAAGTACCGTCGTGCTCCGTCGATGGTTGCACGGCGGATCTCAGCAAATGCAGGGACTACCATCGACGCCATAAAGTATGTGAACTCCATTCCAAAACCCCTAGAGTTTCGATTAGGGGTCAAGAGCAACGATTTTGCCAGCAGTGCAGCAGGTAAACTATTTTAAGTTGATTTATGCAGATTGAAGATTTTTGGGTATTTTTCCTTTGTGATTTAAGGTTTATGATTATGATTTGTTTATCTTAATGTTTGCTTTATGCACCATGAAAGGGAATTGAGTTACTTTCTCATGTGATTTCCTTTGTAAGATTCTTTCTTATGCTTTTATTCTTGGCTTATTTCATTTGATAAATGATTTAGCCTGTTTCTGGTTAATGCGATTTCATTAGGTTTCATTCCTTGTCGGAGTTCGATGAAGGGAAACGGAGCTGCCGGAAGCGTCTCGACGGACACAACCGACGTCGGAGAAAGCCTCAACCCGATGCGCTATCGGTAAATTCCGTTAGGTTTATTCCAAATCACCCTGCTACTAGATATGTACCATTCAGTAGTCCCCAAATGTTTTCGTCTACATTCATGAACGATTCTTCGACCGGGGTGATAAAATTCGAATCCGATATAAGTTCATCGTTAAACTTTGGCAACCAAAATAGCTCGATCGTCGGAGAACCATTCTCGTTCTTACACGGTACTAATTTGTCACTCCCTGGAGTGTCTGTTTGTCAACCACTTGTCAATACCAATCCTTCATCAAGCAATGGTGGTAGCAGCCGGAAAATGTTCTCGAATGCATTAAATCGAGCCTTCGAGTCCAACCATGCTCTCTCTCTTCTGTCATCGGAACCGGCTGAGAATCGGGAGATTACTTCGAGCTCCATGGTGCAGTCAGGCACACCTCCATCCTTGATACCAAGCTTGCAATATAAGGATGAGCAAGCAGGAACCGAGCATTCAGGGTCATCCGCAAGTGGCACTCAACACACACTTTCCTTCTCATGGGAGTAAAAATATACTATGAAATTCCAATCTCCCTTCCAATCAGAATGTTTTGTTGCTAAAGCAGAGGCATTTCCTTTTTGGAATAATTATGTAGCCCTTGTGTAAGTGAGTTCCCAATGATTTTTGAACCTTTTGATTAAGGTGTAAATGAATCGAGCTTGAACGAGTAAAGTTATGTTCATATTCGTTTATTTATTTTTTAATATGTTTATATATCGTTCATGTGCGTTTATTTATTTTTAAATGTGTTCATTTAGTGTTAATAAACATATTCGTTTAATGTCCGGCAACCAACACTCTCGTATTATGCAAGCAAAATAAGTTTAATTTCAAAAATTTTTTGTTATTGTTGTAGTTTCAAAGAGAAATTTATTTGATCAGTTTACAAATTGAAATTATAAGATTTTGAAACGAATCATAGGAGGTATAAAGTAAGGCTTACATGTATTATATAATAATTTAATGTCAAGTGGATTTTATATAAATCAAAGTTGAAAGTGGATAAAAAAGAACACATAAAATGCCTTATTTAAATGAAACTCTCATCCTTCCCCTCCTATACCAATTACCATTTTTTCCAGAGATTTCCATTCAGGCCCGGTTAAAGCACATGCCACTCACAAAGCATAATAATTAATAAAAGTTAGTACAGGTTTCAACACTTGATTTAGTTAATTAATATAAGGATTAATATATTTTTAATTGTTTAAACTATACTTCAAAATACGATTTAATATTATTATTTTTTTGTTAACAATAATATCTAATATTTTTCTGTAACACTTACTTAGGGACTTATCGTTATATTTTAAAATTTTTAATAATAAAATTATTGTTTTAAAAAAATTGAAAAAAAAATCTTTCCCTCCCCCGTTCCCTCTCCTCTCCTCCCCCGTTCATCCCCTCCCTCTCATTGTACAATCTCCTACAATTCTTCAAATCTTACAAAACTCACCTATTGCAAATCGTATAAGGGATATTTTGACAATGGCAAGAGGGATGCTTGACAATAGAGGTATGATGATAGGTGAGTGGCCGTTCGACATCGATAAAGACGGCCGGTGATGGCCGACGACAGATGATAACGTGGGTTGGAATGAGAAAATTTAAGGTTTTGGGGTCTTTTATAATTTTTGAAAAATTGATTTTTTCTTTTAAATTAATAATATTCTTTAACTTTTTTATAAAAAAATATGAGAGTGACACACGTCACTTAATGGTCAAATTAATGACCTTTACGGTCCAAACACCTAAAAGTGTAAGGTTGAAAATGTTAGGCACTTATTGTTAGCAAAATATTCTTTGAGCACCAAATCATATTTTGAGGTATAATTTATGCATTTAAAAGTATATTAAGCCCTAATATAATTATTATTTTAATAAGCTAAGATGGTGAGAAGATAATATAGGTTTATACTTTTTTTAATCATTGATAAAACATATACATCATGTGGACAAAATTGTTCGAACTCAAGAATTTAAAGAAAAACAACACCACCCTTTCTAATCACACAAATCATCAATCCATCTAAAGTCGGGGTTTTATAATATATGAAAGGATCGAGTTGTTCTAGTTAGGTAAAATGCCTAAATGCGGTTACCAATTAATTTCTTAGGCGCGTAAGTTTGGTTTTCGTCAATAAACAGAAGAAATTCCTACTTTTAGGTATACCGCGGAACTTGACTAAGTTCAAATTAATCAATGCCGATTGGCCTTAAGAAATTCCCATAAAGTTCATAGTGCTCTGCTTTAGAAACAACATATCACAGACCTGGAAAACCAAATCAATGTAGGGTTGGTATTTTGGTTCAATTTAAATTCGGTTTTATTGAAGTTTAATTTTAATTATTAGGTAAACATATGCGATTAAATTATCGGTTCCAAGCTCAAATTATTTCCATAAAACATATTCTATTAATAGTTAGTCAATCGATAATCTTCATCTAACATAAATTATTTGAAGTATCGAAAATTAAAACATAAAGAATTAAGGTACTTAAAAAAGAATATGAACCGGAATGATTGACTACGTTTGAGACTATTCTCGTCGGGCTATTTCTTCTTATGTCGCCCGGCAGCCTTATCACCGATGAGGGGTGGAGGAAGGATCTAGGGAAAATTCTGATAAGCAGACCACGTCGTGCAACACGGTTCAAACCACAATACAATAATAGGCCTGGTGCAGGACATATTCCTATCATTTATCCACTCCCCTCCTCTGTCTCGGATTTACACAGATTTTGTACTTCTTTCCTTAGATTTTTAGAAATTAAATGTTCGAGCAATAACATTACAACAGAACGATTGAATTTTTATTGTCAAATATTTAAAAAAGATATAACTCCATAATGACCTTAACTTAATAAAAATAAATAAAAACCCACCTTTTTTTCTCTCATCATTTCACACATAAGGCTAAAATAAAATCTCTTTATTATATTAGTTTCTTTAAGTATATTAAAAGCCAAAGCTAGATTCCGATGGTGATGTTGATTGTTGGCCACACACATTGCTCGCTCTTGCTCTATATATACATAAGATTTTGCCCGTCGGTCATGCAAACCAAAACCATCTCTTCCGACTTCTCTCAGCTTCTTTTCTTGCACTAAAAGAGCTCACATATCTTCTGTTTCATTATTGTTTAAGGTAACCCTGAAATGGAGACAAATAAGAAGAGGGGTATTTTTTCCAAAGGCAAGTTGGCCAAGTCTTTCTACTCTCGAGCCACTGCTAAGTCACGAGCCACCGCTGCACATCAGCAATCGAGCAAGGTGGTTCCCTATTCCAATGAACAAACCACTCTTCCAAATCTTCCGTTCTCAACGCAGAGGGTATCCTTCAACCCACCCAGTTTTTACGAGCATAATGCGAATAAGACTTGGGGTCCTGCCGACGACAATGTGGACGTGAAGGCTGCCAGCTTTATTTCGAATGTCCGAAAGCGTTTTGAGCTCGATTGATTCCACCGGACATGAAACATAGAGAAGGGGAGTCTTCGCACAAGCAGAGGGTTTCAGTAAATTATATGAAATAGTTGTATACATAAGGATCAGTCATTCTAGTGATCGTATGTGCTCTTTCGAGTTTTCATCCATCTTGAATTTATGTTAATGTACCAGTTTCTACCTGTATACACTTAACCTTGGTAAATAATTATATCAAGTCATATACTTGTACATCGCCGCTACAACTTTTAAATTTTATGATATATATATTTCTTTTTTGTGTGAGATTAATAATTTCATTTAACGATTGATTTTTTAATTATTCGTTTTCATCGTTACGATTGTCCAATTTGTCTACCTTATTCATTGCATGGGGTGCTCGACGTGAAATCAAACAGTGAAAATGTTAAATTCAGGGATGGACCTAGGCGGAGGGCAGGTGAAAGAGATCGCCCCATAAAAATCTAAAATTCTCATATATTTTAGATTTTTCTATTTATTTTCTATTAAAAATCTGTTTTGATCCCCCTAAAATTTTATTCGCCCTCTTAAAATTTTATAAGTTCAAGTTCAACATCTCTAACATAAAATCTTGTGTCCGTCCCTGGTTAAATTCATCATTATAGTTTATAAAAATCAAAACTAATAAAATAATTGGTTTCAAAAAATATTATGGATGAAGCTTGGAATATATTTATAACAAAGATATTAACCAAGCAACCTAAGTGGAAACCTATGAATTGGTCCAAATAAGAACAAAATTTTCTAATTGTTAGTCTAAGAAACTTGATTTCACCTAAAAAGTTACTTATGAAAACGAAGTTTCCCCACCTAAAAAATAATTAGAAAGATTCTTATTCACCTACCCCTACAATTTTCTCGAAAGTACATATATTTGCAAGAAATTTATTAATCTTACCAAAATATTTTTGGACATAGTAATTCAGAAATTTCTAAGTTAAATTTTGTGTTACAAATATAATTTATTTACACTTTCAATGTGGTTTTCCCTTCGATGTTTGCCCGTAGCAGTAGAATCACCTCCGTCAGAAGATTCATTAATATATACGCCTCTTCCTCACTTTCCAAAGCCATCCTAACAAGACCAATAACATATTTGTTGTCTTCGCGTCAGGTATGTCTAATCTCTAACACTCATGCATCCTTCCTTATGCAATTTCTCACAATCCTTATATCTTAACATTAAAGTTTGATTTAATATGTAATGCGATCTATATGAATTTTTATTTTATTTTAATATATTTATATACATAAAATTTTGTTTTTTTATATTAAAATAAGCTTTAATTATTTTCTAAATAATATTCGTTCAAAAGGATAAATAAAAATAATTTAATGTTAAAAATCTTGATTTTTATATTAAAAATAAGCTTTAGTTTTTGGTTGACAGTTGCATACAAAAGAAGTTTTATGTCTGCCTAATTTGATAGTCTTAAAATAGAAAATAATTTGATGGACCTGACTCACTACGTTATCTATGGTCTCTGTCAATCTTTTTTTTTAAGGTGGATTTTTTTTTCTCTTTTCTATATGTAAATAAAGAGTGAGTTGTTATTTGAAAATTACTTTGAAATAAATGAATATTATTAAGTAAGATCATAGATGATGTGATGAGCCGAATCTATTAAATAATTTCTCAGGTAGGCTAAGAGTTTTAAGTGCACATATCTCCTATGCTCTTAATTTAAAAGTCTTCTCAATCAGGGATGTTGTTTTCATAAATATTTTTTAATAATAAAAAATTAAGGGGCAGTGGCCCCTTAGATGAAGCATAGCTTCGTCCCTGTTATAAAGTGTTGATCGGAGGGCAATGTCGAAAATAGCACGGATAGCGCCTAAAGACGATAACGATAGTAAATTTAAATTTTAAACTAAAAAACAAAAGAGATTTTTCTAGATAAGGAGAGATTGAGAGAATTTTTAGGTTCCTTTTAACATAGAGAAAAAAAATGAATTTTTAAAAAAATCGAGTATCAAATTAGAAATTAATCTTTTTTATTGAAGTGTCATAAAGCAAGAGAATTAACGGTTAAGTTATTGAAACGAAAGAAATGAATAATATAAGTGATCGAAACATATTTTTTAGAAAGATTAATGATCAAAATAAGACAAATTAAAAAACATAAGTGACTTCTAATGTGATATACCCTAATAATAATAATATTTAAGACAGCAATCAAGTTGT